GTGACCATGAAATTTGGCAAAATTTCTCCATTTAGAAGGCCATTTGAACAAGTTTACTAAATTTTTTTTATAAAAAAGGTAGGGTAATAATGTAAATGGTCTCTATAATTTACATAATGTGTTAATTTGGTCTATATTGTTTCAATTTATTCAATTTTGCCCTTTAATTTAATAGATTGTGTCATTTTAGTCTAATAAATAATGGTTGTTAAGTTTGGTGGATGGAAAGTCTACATCATGTGTTAATTTGGTCCCTATAGTTTACACAATGTGTCAATTTGGCCCCTGGTGTTTTAATCTGCTCGATTTTAATAGGGGCCAAATTGACAGTTGTGTAAACTGCAGGAATCAAATTGACACATAGTTTGACTTTCTGTCCACCAAACTTAACAATCATTATTTATTATCCTAAAATGACATAATCCGTTAAATTAAGGAACAAAATTGACCAAATTGAAACAATATAAACCAAATTGACACATTGTATAAACTATATGGACTATTTGTATAATTTACTCAAAAAATTATTATATTTGTGTTCAAAATTTTCCAATTTCAATGGATTTTACAAATGTTTCGAGTTTTTAGTACATAGTTTTTGGTTCATTTAAATTTTCAAAAATTATTTTTAAACAGATATTTTTATTTGTCTTTACTATTTTTTTAATTTTTTTTTTCCATATTGTAGTTAAATTTTTTTGTTATGCATCAAAAAAATTAAAAGAAAATTAACTAATTATGAAAAAAAATCACTACAAAACAAACAAAAACCTGAACAATAATGCACACATATTTTTAGTCAAATTTTTTCAATATCATATTCAATTTATTTTACATTTTAGATATTTTAAATTCACAAATAAATTAGTTTTATCATATGAAAAATGCTTTATACCCCCACTGGGGGTCGACCCCTAGTGAGGTGGAGGCCCATGATTGGGCGGAAAAAAACTGTTTTTTTTTTTTTTTTTTTTGGGTTGGCAGCCAGTGGGGGCGCGCCACCTCACTGGGGGTGCGACCCCCACTGGGGTATAAGGCACGGCTGTTATCATATCGAGGTTTACCGTTCCTATTCACTGGACTAGGCCATAAATATTTTGACTTTTCATAAAAAAAATGTACAAAATAAATAAATAAATTAGAGAAATGATGTAATTTAAATAAGGCAATAAATCAATAAAATAATTTTTTTTTTCTAATTGTCAAAATTAGCTTTTGATCAACGACTTCTGAAGTATTTGGAGCACTTTGATAAAATAAAAAAAAAAATGACAAAAATGGTAAATACTTGTTCAAACCAAAATTATCCATTGACTTTGCAGCAATCATGAAATTTGGCAAAATTTCTCCATTTAGAAGCCATTTGAACAAGTTTACTAATTTTTTTTTATAAAAGAGTTAGGGTAATTATGCAAATGGTCTCTATAATTTACATAATGTGTTAATTTGGTCTATGTTGTTTCAATTTACTCGATTTGCCTCTTAATTTAATAGGTTGTGTCATTTTAGTATAATAAATAACGGTTGTTAAGTTTGGTGGATGGAAAGTCTACATCATGTGTTAATTTGGTCCATGTAGTTTATACAATGTGTCAAATTGGCCCCTGGTGTTTTAATCTGCTCGATTTTAACAGGGGCCAAATTGACACTTGTGTAAACTACAAGAATCAAATTGACACATAGTTTGACTTTCTGTCCACCAAACTTAACAACCATTATTTATTAGACTAAAATGACATAATCCGTTAAATTAAGGAACAAAATTGACCAAATTGAAACAATATAAACCAAATTGACACATTGTGTAAACTATATGGACTATTTGTATAATTTACCCAAAAAATTATTATATTTGTGTTCAAAATTTTCCAATTTCAATGCATTTTGCAAATGTTCGAAGTTTCTAGATAGACTTTGTTTGGTTTGAATTTTCAGAAATTATTTTTAAACGGGCTTTTATTTGTCTTTACTGATTTTTTTTTTATTTTTTTGCATATTTTAGTTAAAAGTTTTTGCTTTATAAATATATTAAAATTAGATGCATCTAAAAAACTAAAAAATTAACTAAATATGAAAAAAATTACTAAAAAATAAACAAAAATCAGAACAAAAAAGCACAAATTTTTAGTCGAATTTTTATTTATTTTTTGGGAAGTTTTTTAATATGATAATCAATTTATTTTACTCTTTAAATGTATTTAGATTTACAAATAAATTACTGTGGTCATATAAATTCCTATTCAATGGACTAGGTCCATAAGACCAAGAAGGAGTTTATTATAATTAATAAAGAATAATGTAAGGCACTTAAGTATAACGCTCAAATAAATACTACATTTTAGAGATCATTTCTTCACAAAGTAGTAATCTAATTAATGCATAAGCATGAGTTGTGTGGAACCCGTCGTAACTTACAAAAATAGAGAAGTGGTGTAACCTAAATAAGCCAACAAGTTAATAAACTTATTTTTTTTATAATTGCCAAAATATGCCTTAGACCAAGTGGTTCTGAAGTATTTAGAGCACTTTGATCACAAAAATGACAAAATGATAAATACATGCTCAAACCAAAATTATACATTGACTATGCAGTGAGTAACAGATTAAATTTGGGAAAATTTCTCAATTTAGGCGCCATTTGGACAGGTTTACTATTTTTTTATTTTATTTTTTTTTTAAAAATTATACTTCTGTTCAAAATTTTCCAATTTCAATGTTTCAAGTTTCTAGTACATGGGTTTCATTTGGTTTAAATTTTCAGAAATTATTTTTAAATGAGTTTTTATTTGTCTTCACTGAATTTGTTTTCTTCATATTTTAGTCAAAAATTTTTGCTTTATAAATATATCAAGATTAGATGCATCTAAAAAACTATAAAAAAAAATAAAAATAAAAAGAAACTAAATAAGAAAAACTCACTAAGAAATAAATGAAAATCTGAACAAAAAAGAATAGATTTTTATTCGAATTTCCATTTATTTTTTGGAAATATTTGTAATATTATAATTAATTTATTTTACTCTTTAAATATATTTAGATTCACAAATAAATTACTTTATCATATAGAGGTTTACAGTTCCTATTCAATGGACTAGGTCCATAAGACCAAGAAGGAGTTGACAATTATTAATAAAGAATAATACAACCCACTTAAATATAACCCTCAAATAAATACTACATCTTAGAGATCATTTCTTCATAAAGTACTAATCTAATTAGTCGGCAAGCATGAGTTGTGTGGAACCAGTCATGTTTGGAGCATTACGATCACAAAAATTGACAACATGGTAAATACATGTTGAAACCAAAATTATACATTGACTTTGCAGTGACTTACGATGAAAGTTGGGAAAATTTCTCAATTTAGGCGCCATTTGAACAAGTTTACTATTTTTTAAAAAAAATTATTATACTTCTGTTATAAATTTTCCAATTTCAATGCATTTTGCATATGCTTCAAGTTTCTAGTATACAGGTTTTGTCTGGTTTAAATTTTTAGAAATTATTTTGAAACTGGTTTTTATTTTTATCCGTACCGATATATATATATATATATATTTCATATTTTAGTCAAACAATTTTTCTTTATAAATATATCAAGATTTGATGCATCGAAAAAACTAAAAATTTTTTTAAAAAATTAACTAAATATGAAAAAAAAAATCATTAAGAAATAAATGAAAATCTAAACAAAAATGCACACAGATTTTTATTTGAATTTTCCTTTATTTTTTGGGAATTTTTTTATATTGTAGTAAATGTTTTTACTTCTTAGAAGCATCTAGATTAGGTGTAACCAAAAAGTATTAAAAAAATTAATTAAAATATGAAAAAAATATTGGGTGATGCACCAATAAATTTCAAATTAATAACTTATACACTATTTAGTCCTAAAAATTTTCTTATAAACTGAAAGGTCCCATTATAGGGAAATTAACCATAGAGGGCATATACATCAAATATCATCATCGTCAAAACAACATCATCATCATCGAAACAACATCAAACATCACAACATCATTATCAAAACAACATCAAACATCATCATCAAAACAACATCAAACATGACAATATCATTATCAAAACAACATCAAACATCATCATCAAAACAACATCAAACATCACAACATCATCATCAAACATCATTATTAAAACAACATCAAACATCACAACATCATCATCAAACATCATTATTAAAACAACATCAAACATCACAACATCATCATCAAACATCATCATCATCATCATCAAACATCATCACATCATCAACAACACAACATCAAACTAAAAAAATATACATCAAACATCAACATATACATTATACATCACTAAACAAACAACCAATTCTGAAGGATAATGGGTCGCCATTGATGGTCAATGTGTAGGCATTCTAGACCTTCAAAGCAAAAAAGCAATCTGAAAAAGAACAAAAAAAATTTGGGTAATTTTCGAACATCAAACATCATCAAAACAGATCAACATTAACAAAGCATCATCAACACAGTGATGTTCTTCCCTCAAATCGGATCGAATATCGGATCTGTGATGTTCTTCAACACATTGATGTTCTTGAATGTCGGATCTGTGATGTTCTTCAACACAGTGATGTTCTTGAATGTTCTTGAATATCGGATGTGTGATATTCGATCGAAATCATCAACACAGTGATGTTCTTCCCTCAAATCGGATCGAATATCAGATCTGTGATGTTCTTCAACACATTGATGTTCTTGAATGTCGGATCTGTGATGTTCTTCAACACAGTGATGTTCTTGAATGTTCTTGAATATCGGATGTGTGATATTCGATCGAAATCATCAACACAGTGATGTTCTTCCCTCAAATCGGATCGAATATCGGATCTGTGATGTTCTTCAACACATTGATGTTCTTGAATGTCGGATCTGTGATGTTCTTCAACACAGTGATGTTCTTGAATGTTCTTGAATATCGGATGTGTGATATTCGATCGAAATCTTCAACACAGTGATGTTCTTCCCTCAAATCGGATCGAATATCGGATCTGTGATGTTCTTCAACACATTGATGTTCTTGAATGTCGGATCTGTGATGTTCTTCAACACAGTGATGTTCTTGAATGTTCTTGAATATCGGATGTGTGATATTCGATCGAAATCTTCAACACAGTGATGTTCTTCCCTCAAATCGGATCGAATATCGGATCTGTGATGTTCTTCAACACATTGATGTTCTTGAATGTCGGATCTGTGATGTTCTTCAACACAGTAATGTTCTTGAATGTTCTTGAATATCGGATGTGTGATATTCGATCGAAATCATCAACACAGTGATGTTCTTCCCTCAAATCCCTCAAATCGAAGAAGAACATCAGACCGACTGAATGTGGCGTCGATGACGTTGAAACCATCGCCAAATCCCATGGAGATTGCGCCGGCGGCAACCTCGGCGATGCCGGCGGTGATGATGATGGAGGAGGAAGCGTTTGCACCGGAGAGACCGGCGGCGAGAGCGAAGAGGACGGTGAGGCTGTCAGAGATGCCGATGATGATGTCGCGGACGATCTCGCCCACCGTGAAGTGCTTCTCGGCGTGTTGCGTCAGAAGCAACTTCTCTGATTTTGTGGTCCGATGATTTTCCGCCACTGAATCGATTGCACCAATTGAAGATGAACAAACACAAATTTCCAAAGCCTTATTTATTTATTTATTATTATTATTATTATTTTATTTTTTTCATGTGAGAGTCTGGAATAGTTTTTGGTTTTTGGAATGAGGAAGATGAGGGAGGAGTCTGAAGCAGGGGGAATCTTGCCGATGATGTGAGAAGTGGGAGATCGAACGCTGTGGAAGTTAGGGTTCTTCTTTGGTAATCCCGGATGTTGTTTGATGATGATGTTGTGATGTTTGATGTTGTTTTGATAATGATTTTGTGATGTTTGATGTTGTTTTGATAATGATATTGTCATGTTTGATGTTGTTTTGATAATGATATTGTCATGTTTGATGTTGTTTTGATAATGATATTGTCATGTTTGATGTTGTTTTGATAATGATATTGTCATGTTTGATGTTGTTTTGATAATGATATTGTCATGTTTGATGTTGTTTTGATAATGATATTGTCATGTTTGATGTTGTTTTGATAATGATATTGTCATGTTTGATGTTGTTTTGATAATGATATTGTCATGTTTGATGTTGTTTTGATAATGATAT